TCATCCCTCTTTGGGAAAGGAAGATAATGGAAATAATAAAATGTTCTGTCTTCTTGCTTCCTGTCCCCCACCGACATAGCTGCCCCTCTTAAGGGTGTGGATTGCACCAGCTGCCAGAGCAGGTCCTGGTCTCTCGCAGGTGGCTCTCCCCGTGCTTCTCATCACTGACTTCCCCTGCGAGCTGCGCAAGTTTTGCCCTTGGGCTGGAGTATTCAGGAAAGGATGTTGCACACTCCTCCTTTGCTTTTTATCTCCATAACTGTTCGGGGCCAGACTGGAGTGGACTTGAAACCTGACATGACCTGGCTGGTTAAAATTGTCCCCCTTACTTTCCCAGGCAGCAGTTGCTGCTGCTGCACATTTCACAGACCCTGGAGCAACAGCAATGCTATCGAGGGTGGAGCCAGCGCCCATGGGAGTGGGAAAAGAAGCTTCCCCTTGCTTTTGTTGGGTTTTGGATTGGCCCCTAGGTATTTAATGGAGCCAAAATAAAAATGATCCTTCTGTAGGTCTGTCTATCCAGGGACCAGGAAATGCCTCTTGCTTGCTTAAAATTGTCTATGGGAGGAGGGGAGAGCACACTCAAGTGCCGCAGATCAGATGCCCCTACCCTGCAAGCAGGAAGCAAAATGGAGAGGTTGGAGCAAGCTGCCGTGTTCTTCTTGGCTGTAGTTTCTCTTGTTTCTCTCCTGCTTGATGCCTACCCTGCCATCAGCAGACCTGTGCGTTTCCAGATTGCCCCTCGTTGCTCTGCCAAGAGAACTGGGGTCTGGTTTACTGCCCGGAGTTTACCTTTCCTCTTGTATCCTAAACTATGTGCTCGCTCATTCGCTTTCTCAGAAGCGACTGTGATCAAAGAGCACCTCGTTTCCTCAGCACCCCTGCCAGAAGCGTGTAGTCAGGAGCAGGGGGTGGGGGGTGGGGGCGGGGAAAGGGAAAGGGCTTGAAGAGAGGCAGGTTTGCTCCCTGCTGTGAGGGTAAGATAGAGGGAGGCTTAAGGACAGTGTCTCCTTCTGTACTGACATGTCTAGGGGAGCGACGGTGAAGCAGGTGGGGGCAATGGTGCTGACTCTTGAAGGAGCTGGAGGCAGGGTCAGTGGATCCAGCAGCTTCTCTGCTGCTGGATTTCGCCATTTGCACACATCCTGCGATCCCGTGCAGTTAGGTACTGCTTTGCCTAACTCTGTAGCTGCTTAAATGGACACACAAACACTATCTGCCAGGCTTTGTGTGGGCTTGGTGTAAAACTCCTTTTCCTCATGCCATAAGCCACCTGGAAAGCAGGGCTGAAGACTGGGCTTTCATTTCATCTTCCATGGCTTTGATTAATAGCCCTTTACTGTGAGGTATTTATGTTAAACATCCCCTCTCTCTTAGGAAAGCGGGGCATGGGACGTGATCCCTTCCTCTCACTGCATTTGCAGGCCTTGATGGTGTCCCCGTGTCACTTAATTGGTGACCATCCCCAATCTTCATTGCGTTGGGTGGCTGAGATCTGAAATTGCTGGGATTACCTCATGGAGCTTGAAGGTGATCCAGGCTTGGGGAAGAGTTGGCGGGTTTGTTTGTTTTTTAAAAATTATTTTGAAATGTATGCTGCATATATATGCTGTGCAGAGGATCTGGATATTCTCAAAGCTTCCTGTATGTAGTGGTTTCAAGTATAACCCTTTTGCACTAGCTGCCTTCGGAGAAGCCTGGTGAAGAACTAGTGCCCAAACAACAGCCAGCTGCCATGCATTATAATTTTATATACGTCTATATTTTTTGACACCACACAAAATCGTCTCTGAGCTTCCTGCTCTGCCTCATGACAGGCAAGTGCCAGAGCAAGGACTGGCTTTGAAGCTGCTCTGGCTTGCAGGAACAAATACGAGATCCAGAGCTTGAGACTAAGGAGGCCAAAGCGTCCGTGGTCTTGCAGGTCTGCTCACGGTAGCCCAGGGCCCCAACAAACGTGTTGGTTCCAAGAGTAGGCCCTTGGAGCTGCTCTCCCTCACCTACTTCCCCTTTCCTTCCTTCCTTCCTTCCTTCCTTTTTGTTTACCATGTAACATACCCATGGGATTTGTTTATTATTTTTCCATATAGCGTAGTTCTTTGTATATAAATGACTGAAAAAAAATGTATGATAAATAAGACAGAGTCACCTAGTTTTGTACCTATCGTGTTTAACGGATGTGAGCTCAGCGACAAGCCGCTCTCTCTATTTTGGTCTTTGTGATGTTATACTCTGCAGAAATGAGCAAATATGATGACAAATAAAAATATAGAGATAATATAGATTGTACCTAAGCTGCCTCTGCGTGGTATTGTCAGGGTGACTACTTCTCTGCACCGATCTTGAGTTTTTGCTCACTGCAGGGGCCGAGGCTTAGTGGATCGGTATGTCTTGTCCTCCTGGTCCTCTTCTTGGGAGGAAAGCTTTGCGCTGTCTGTGTGTGCAGGAGCTGAGAGAGCAGCAGCACTACAGCAGCCTGGCGCTGAGACTTCGCTGACGGCCCAAGGCAGGAGCAAAACCCATTTGTCAAAAACCTGGAGTAGAGATGAGTCCTTGTCTTCGGTGGTCAGCACAAAACACTTGCGGGAGAAAGGGGGCTGCTTTCTCTCACAGGGGCCTTGGTGAACAGCGGCTCTGGGCTTTTCTTCCACGAGCAGCGGTGGCGCTGGGGCAGTTTGCAGTGGCAAGAGGGAACTAGATGTAAAACCCAGAACCACCATGTGAGCACTGTAAGCTGCTGGGAGGCCAGGACCTGGCCTGCCTGGGCATCAGGGGAACAAGCTCATCGGTTCCACCTCGGGTCTGAGGAAGGGTGGCTTTGCCCACAGGGAGGAGGTTGGACTTCACCTCCGGGTAAGGCGCCTGCCACGCTTCCTTCCCCTTCTCCTGCCACCCACGGACACAAGCTCCCTGCTTTCATCCTCACTGTTCCTGAGTCAGGCAGTGAGGTCACTCAGCAGAGAAGGTTTTGGGTAGAGCTGCCCCGATTGCACCTGCCTCTCCTCCCACACTGGGTCTGAGGGCAGACCGGAGGGAATTTTTCTAACAAAAAGCATTCTCTTTTCTAGGAAAAGCTGATCCAGGACAGCTGAACTGCCTCTGAAAGCAAGCACTTCGGGGGGGTGATGTTCAGCATTAAGCTTGCTTACTGAGCCCTTACGGAGACAATAAATCTGTGCTTGTTCTAAGAAGTCATGAGCTGTCCCCCATCCCATCTTTTTTTGGGTACGGTCTTGAACATGTCCGGCAGCAAAGCTAGAGGGAGCTAGAAAACCTGGTCCCACTGAGACAACAGCTCTGTCCTGAAGTTCAAGAATGACCAAACACACTCTGGCTGTGGAAAAAAAAAGAACTTGCTTTATTTGTAAAGTCTACAAAATACAGAGGAGTCGGGTAGGACACATACTGTAAGTCAGAAAATAAATAAGTATTTTTTTTGCTCTATATAAGTATAAGATAAAATGTGATTTGCATATATAAAATATAAAGTACGGCTCTGTACCAACATCCTGGCTGTGCCGAGAGGCGGAATGGCAAAGAGGACGTGAAAATAACTTATGTTCGTGCAATAAATAAACCCAAGAGGAGGTGGGGTGGGGGGATGCTAGCCACAGTGCCCCCTCCACAGCAGCGGGCAGGCACCTCTCTGGGGAGAGACGGAGGCTGCAGCCGAGGGCAGCCGGCATGGCAATACCCAGGCAGGGGCAGAAAGGGGGTGGGGGGATCATCTACAGTGGCAGATGCCAAGAAGGGTCTGCCTCCTGTTACCTCCCCCGTGCTGCCTGTATTTAAGCAAACCCAACTCTTCTCCAGCATTTCAGCCTGCTGAAGAGCCAGTTGTCCCACACAGGTGTCCAAGCTGGAGGAAAACCAAAGGGAGGAGCCTACCTGCCTGCCAGGCAGCTCCCAGGAGCAGGGATGCTCTCCACCCCTCCCTGCCTCCACAGCTCCAGCTCTCCAGAGCTAGGAGCACCTTTCTGTCGGCTTTGTAGGCGGTGGGGTGCTGGGGAGTGCTTGGTGGGGCCGTACAAGCCGGCCTGTGCTGAGCAAAACAGTGTTTATCTCTGATCCAGCTGCCTCCGCTTCCTTCCTGCCAGTGCCGCTGCATTTTGGAGACACCCGCTGGCCAAGCTTCCCGTAGGCAGGAAGAGGCATGAAGGATGTGCATGATGGAACGAGATAAAACAGCACCACTGCTTTTCCCCTTTGCAGGCAACAGCCTGGGCTGACCCCCTCACGTCCCCAGGCTCTCCCTTGCCCGAGGGATCCTCCTCCATCACTGTCACCTCTTGGCTCCCCCAGCTCCACAGGCTGCCATGGCACTTTCCCATCCTGCTCGCCCTTACGAGGCACCAACCTGCAGCCACCTTCTCTCCCCCTCTGACCTGCCACCTTCCCTCGCCATCTCCCCTCCCAGGAGACTCCAGCCATGCTGCCACCTCCCCGCTCTGCTCCAACCATGGTCCAACTTGTGGGCCAATGCTGACACCCCTCTCCATCATATCGCTTCTGCCCCTCACTGTGAAACCTCTCTCTCCTCCTTTCCCTCCCTGGCACATGCTTCCATGAGTGCCTGGCTCGTGCTCAGCTCTCCCATGCTTCCCCAAAAAGAGGCACCTGGTGTTTTCCTGCCAGCTTGGACCTGAGGGATGCTTCCCCACTGCTGCCTGCACAGGCTTGCCCTCTCCTGCCTGCATGCCTCCCCCCCCAGTACAAGGGGTGCCCAGCCAGGGGGGGTTGTGGCAGAAACAAGGCTGAGTTAGAAGGGAGGGGGCTGGGGGGCTTTGTGGGTCACTGGTGGAGTCCTGTCCTCTGCCCCAGCACCCACACTGCAGCAGCCCTTCCTTACATGGGGGAAACTGGAGGTCAAGGGATGGGAGGAGGAGGAGGATTTCAGGCACAGGTCCTGGCAGGGAGGAGGTCAGGGAGGGTACAGGAGGTGATTTATGGGGGAAGGCACCCCAGGAGGGCCATGCCCAGCCGGGGGACAGAGGCCAGCACTAGGAGTAGGCGGCCTGGTTGGCACTGGACTTGACGATGGTGATGACGCTGGCAGTGGCCACCTTGGCAGGGGGCCCATGGGCAGCCACGGTGCGGGCGAAGCCCTGCAGGGCCTCGTACTTGCCGCGAAGGGTGTCAAGCTCCAGGCGCATGGCGGCGTTCTCCCGGGCCAGCTTGTCCACCTCCCACTCCAGCTCCATCTTCTGCTTCTGCAGCTCTTCCTTCTGGCAGACACGCTTCACCCGGCAGCTGGCAGCGTAACCCCGGTTCTTCAGCGTCCGCCGGCGCTGCTTCAGCCTCGCCACCTCCTCCTTGGAGAGGCCCCGCAGGTGGTGGTTGAGCTCCCGCACCGACAGGCCCATCAGCTCCTCGTCCGACAGCAGCGGAGTGTTCTCCCCCAGCTCCCGCTTCACCTGCCGGAGAGAGGGG